TTTCAAAGAGAGAAGATTTCATATGTGAACGCAACGGGTTCCTGCTTCTATACGTACGTGTTCGTTTAATATTCGACGAGAATTTTCCATCTTTAAACGAGCTAGCTCGAATTGTTTCCACGTGGTGTTTACGGTTTCTGCCGTGAATTCCACTGAACGCGCGACTGCCCCCGATTAAATAATTCAACGAGCAATTTTGGCGTGCACGTTCGCATACGTGCACCAATACTTTGATTCTCTGGGAAGACTTTGGCGATGCGCGTTCTCTGTATCACCCAATAACGGCGGAATGCCTCTGAAACGCGAGGCTCGCGCCCCTGTTTCACGCTTGCTTCTCAAGATTCATCGACAGTCGCGTTTGCTTTCTGTTCTCGCTTCGTGAACGAGTTAACGACGAAAATGTCAGTGTTGGAAACACTCACGATTGTTATCGATCGTCCACCTTTACGTATGTTTCTTGGGTTTCGAAGGACCACTCACTGATGTGGGAAATGAATATAGTTAAGCATAGTTAGTGGGAAGTGGAGGTGTATTCTGCAGTTAGCTGCTTCACCGATGTTTTGCCGAAGTGACGACGGCTAAAGACGAAAAAAATTCACGTGTGCAGCAAATCGAGGCAATTTTTTATTTCAAAGTTTTATTTTATATTTTAGCTTTTTTATTATTGCTTTAGTATTTAGTATTTTATACTATTTTTGCATTTAGNTATTTAGTATTTTATATTATTTTTGTATTTACTATTTAGATTTTAGTTTTTAGCACTATTTTAATATTTTACTATTTTTATCATTAATATACTGTTTTCATTATTATTTTTGTTCTTTTCATTATTATTTTGTTCTTTTTTTCCCGTTGTTTCTATTTGTTGACGCAATGTCTTCATTGCCAACGAGCAATCTTTCGTTGTCTTCTTTTGCTCAATCTGCACAAGACGTTCCTGACAGTGAACGACATAAATGTATAGTAAATATATATAACTTTGTTATTCATGTGACTATTATTTGTTCCTTATACATGTTTCTATATGAGTCTGGTGTCTGTCACTGTGTTGGTACAATATCGGTGAAGTAAATATGTATTAGTGTGCTTCAAAATGACCCCTGAGGTACAGGACCGCTGAGGTTCAGTAGTCAGAGAGTTAAAATAAGTAAAAGCTGTCTCAACCAAACCGAAAACCAAGCTTTTGCCGGTAGCAAGAAGCACAGACGTTTCGAGACTCGAGATTCATTGACTGTTAGAACTGGTAGAAACTGTTGTCGCCTGAATGAGAAACTGCTTTTGTCTCGTTTTGATCGGATCTTCTCTGTTCATAAACGAAGGCGGAAACGGTGTCTGAAAGGTTAAACGGATCAACCCGATATATCTCCCATGAAAATCTCTGGTTTCGTCAATAACGGAATTCCATCCACGGTGGAAACGGCACGGGACATAAATCTGTCGGGAGCATTCCAGGCGCGCGTGGCTCGCCTCGTCTGTCACGAGAACAGGTTTCGACGTCTATAAGGCTATAGAGGGAAACCGAATCCTCGGAAGAGTAGATGCAGGGTGCGAGTGAGTGGCCCGGGTTATGCGATACGGGTGCAGGCGTGTGCATAAACGTGCCATCTGCGACGATCTCGCATTACCTTGCATTCCGTCTAGCTAAGCATCGTCGCCGTTTTAAATCCGTGGATAGCCTGCGACGTTCCGCAGCCTGTTCCGCGCCGATAATTAACGAACAACCAGCTTGGCACTTTTGTTCTCGATTTCCACCTAACCTGCTGCGAAATCGCGCGACGTAAACCGTGACCGTCTCACTTTGAATTATCGCTTCTTCTTCGTCTTCTTTTTTCGTTTTTTCTATCCTTTCTCTACGATCTTCGTCTCTCGTTTCCTCTGCAGCTATATACTTTTTATACGAATCGGTATTACGAATACAGATAAAATACCGATATTTTTAGGTTACTGTTCGATTACGTTTGATGAAATCGAAACGGTGCGAATACCGGTATGATGCTATCGAAACGATGTGAGGTCGGTAGATGTATTTCGGTATGATGCCGGTAAATAAAATATTAATATATTAGGAAAGGAAAAGGGGACAATGATTAAATGTTTTCATAAAGCTGCCGATAGTAAATATTACTATACACGTATCCTTCGATATTTCTAATACTAATTCATCATTGTATCTCCGTACAGTATCAGCCATGATACTCTTACTCAATTTTAAAAGATGACCGATTTCTCCATACGTTTTTCCTTTTTCTCGGTGAAAAATGACTAATTGTTGTATGTCGATAAATCGAAAGGGGAGTTGAAACAACGATTAATCGTAGAATGGAAGAATATTCCGCTAAATTACTAAAAAAAATTACTGGAAATATGCCTAAGCGTCTGCGATATATTATTGAAGTTAAGGGCTACCTAACAAAATATTAATTAT